CTTTAGGTTATATTTTATGAACTTGGGACTGATTTAAGATAGAGGACTTTAAAAGGTTGATTTTCCTTCAAATGTAAGTTAGAGTAAAAAGGCCTCAAGCTTGGTTTTATAATAAGGAAAGAAAATAACAACGATCCTATCTAGTAACTTACAGCTCTTCTTTTTCCCCTTCTGACTCTTGGTTTAAATCTATAGTGGTAACTAACAGGAAAGGTACTCAGAGTAGCTTAAAGTATTAAAGGAAATACTCTTATGACTTACCTAAGAAAAAAGGAGAGGTAATTGATAACTGCTAGAAAAAACTGACTAGTCTAATTATAGTTATAAACCTACAACTATGAAAATGATTATTGTAATTCAGCATGGCCAATGCATCTAACCATTCACTCTGATTAAATGTAATTGATTTATTAGTTTAAAAACAAAAGAATTTGAGCTCAGGCAGTCTAGACCCTAAGCTGAAGATAGTAACTACAATAGCCAAGTACTTATTTTGGTCTATAACCTCAAAAACAACAACAGTGGATGTGCCAGGGACTGTACAAAGTGGTAGATGTGTTGATTAGTGGACTTTGTAAAGAAAAATTTGCTAAAATGTTTATCCTGCCTGTGTGAGTAGAGCCCACCTAAATCAAAAATTTCCAAAAATCCCTTCTGCCTGGACCTAATAATGGTCCCACAGATCTCTAGGTGCCATTTCATTCCTTTAGTCCTTAACAGAACTAGAAAGAAGGAATCTACCAAAACCACAAAGCCACAAAGGATATTCCCATTCAGACTTGTTGAACTGTATGCAAGAATATGGTCATTTACCTTTGGGCAAACATCTCTCTGGTTGCTTTGAGGGGTGGACCATTTTACATAAATTTCCAACAGGATCCTGCAGATCAATAGTACTGCATTCTGATAACACACTGATCGCATCAGACTTCTGCACATCATAACAAAGGAAAGGAGAGTTAGTTACCAATACCCTGTCTCACCATGGTGGCATCTAGTTCTATCTAGTTACTGTCTGATCTGTTAGAGATGAAACCAAATAGGCAAAGGCTTCTAGATATCAAGGGTGTCAAGCAAGCACCCTTCCTTTTGGGTCCCTTTCTAATTGTTCTGATCTGCTTGACCTCAGGAGACAACTCTCTTAACTACTCTTCAAGGCTGAGGAATGACAAACCATATGAAGACAAGTACTCAGCCTATTCCTCTCTACAAATTATAACTTTGATGGGCTGCTTTCCTCCATTTCCTGGGAAACCAAGTAATGAAAAGGCTGAGACTATAATTTTCAGCTACTGAAGCTCAGAGATTAATAGGCTTAGGAGAGTTCTCATTGATTTTTGCCCTGTAAAAGACATACTGCAAAGTCTAGAGGCATTTTAATCATCAAAACTTGAGGATACGACTGACATCTAGAGGACAAGGATACGGCTAAACATCCTACAATTCACACAGAAAAGCCCACCAAAACAAAAAATTGTCTGCGCCTCAGATGTCATAGTAGCAAAGCTAAGAAAGTGTGGCCTACACGCCTACTTAAGACTCAATTCGGGCAATTGTTTCTGCATTAATTGTGATACTTTTCCATAATGGCTATTTTGGAGAAGGTGTGTGGATGAGTCACATATTCTTTCTGACAATCCCCTAGGAAAATTACCTTCCGAGGATTCTGTGTGGTCAAAGAAGTATCTTCAGAGAACACATCAATTTCCACACTTTGAACTCCTGGGCTGGTGTGCCTCTTGGTCCCTTGATGGTCACAGCCCTGACACAGAGATGTGCAGAATAAAATTAATATTCTTCTGGGACATCTCACACATGAGATGAAACAAGTCTAATGTCTATTTCACTTTCTGTTTGTCATGAGAATAGTCTCTGACATTATTTTTTTTCTTTTAAAAAAATTCCTCCTGGAAAAACTCAGCATGAAATAATTCCAGAAAAATTATTACACAAAACAGATACTGAAACTTACTGCAAAGTTACATAATCAAAATAGGAACAAAATTTACCAAATAATTCAGAGAATAAACTTCTATGGGGATTTAATATATTTTAAATGTGTTCTTTCAATTAAATAGCTAAATAACTAATTCTTTAATCAAGAGTAATGGTATACATTGCCATAACATATTAAAAATAAAATCAATAATCAAATGACAATCTGATGTAAAAATAGAGTGAGCCACTCTGCACCTGTGAATTCCACACACTGACCACAGCCATCCAGGAACTCAAAGCCTACTCTGTATTTTGTTTCCCCTCACATGGGGCAGCAGAGGTGCCAGCCAACCAAGTGACCTGATTGTGGATAGAAGGTAAGTCCTGGAGAGTCAGCAACAGCATGGAAAAATAATGCACCTGATTAGGAACACTAGCCCCAATAAAAGCCCATGGTTATTATAAACTACAAAAACAGAGTGAGGTTTTACCCTGAAAATGATTCCTTCATGGCAGACTGAAGTTGGAGAAGAAACCAGTGCAGCACCTGACATTGTCAGATACCATTTGGAGAAAGGGTTAACTGTTTAAGATTGAGCCAGAGAAAAACTACAGAACAACTCTACTTCAGGGCTTCCAGTGTTACCTTCCCACAGTGGCTGAGTGAGACACAACTGCAAAGAGGGTTCAGGATAGACACAGACCCCCCTGAGAAGTTTAATCTCAGTGAGGGAAGGATACAGACCCTGGCCTCCATGGTGAGAAAACAGTCCTGGCAAGGGTGGCTTTCAGTGGTGGTGGGATCTAAAAGGGCTGGCATTAAGTACAACAGTCTGCTTGAACCCCAAGCCCACTACTAACATCCAGCAGAGACAGGTGGTCTGATTGCTTTCTCCATCTACCAAGTGAGCAAAGGCACATTTGGGCTTGGACAGTTGGCACAGTCTGGGGTATAGGACAGAGGGGCAGCTATACGGGGAGGTATGCAATCTCGTAAACCCACTGACTGTAAACCTAAGCAAAGAAAATCATGAATTACTATGACTTGCTAGATTCTAAGACTGCAGATCCTGGAAAAACCCACTCATTCAAAAAGACCGAGGATTTTTTTTTTTCCTTTGGACTCAATTACTTTTTGTTCCTTTTTCCTTCATTACTATTTTGGGGTTAGGTTTTTTCACTTTTTTCTTTTTCTTTTAATTCTTTGTTTTTCCTTCTTATTTTTCTTTCATTTTGCTCTGCTTTTCTTTTTCTTATTTTTCTGTTACTTTTATCTAATACTATTAATTTCCTTTTACTTAATAGTATCCTTTTTCTCACTTTTCTCCTCCTCATCTTCCATTGATTAATTTTTCAAATTCTACTTTTTTAAATTCTCCAGTTCCCTAACCCCTTTATCCTTACTACCATAACCACCAAGCTTTATAAATCCTTAGATGGTTAACTCTACACTATTATTGCTCAATACTGTTCTATTGTTAGTGAAGGTATAGTTGTTCCATTTAATATATATTTACTGTATGTCCATATTTGGTTTGTCTTAGGGTTTATACTACAATTATACCTATTTTCTATGGTTAAGGGTGGTACATTACTGGTTCTTAGGATATGTCAATAACCAGTTTGTTTTATATGATTGCTCTCACTGATTTAATTGCTATTACCAGAATCTGGATTGCCTTGGTGTCATTAACATAATGTACCTCATTCCTGGAGAAGTGAGTGTGGGACAAATACAATGCAGCCTCTGCTCTCAAATAAATAAAGGAGGCTGGATCTTAGGACAGAACAAAGGCCCATAATTAGCCATGCCCAAACTGCACCACTGTAAAGCAGACACTAACTAGAGAGGGCTTCATACTAACAACAAACTCTTCCATTATAATCAACCCACAAACCTCAGCACAAACAAAAGAAAATAACAGAAACATGAGAAGACAACCGAATGACTCCAAAAACTCCCAATTCCCTGAAAGGTGATAGATGGGGCATTGAGAGGAAGGATCAACAGCCACAAAGCCAAATTATCTGAAAGGGTAACAGAGGAAGTTTTAAAAAAAAAGATCAATAAGGCACTTGCTGAGCTCAAAGAAGATATAACTAAACAGATAATGAACCTAATAATCAGCAAGATTACAAAAGACACTAATAAAAAGCTAGCTGAGTTAAACAAAATGATACAAATGACAAATGAACAGTTTAGCAAAAATTTAGAGTCCATGAAAAGCTATCAAATAGAAATCCAAGAGATTAAAAATTCAATTAAAAATGTGGAGAGCAAAAGTGACTAATGTAAGGACAGAGTATCAGAACTAGAAGATAGAACTGGTGTTGAAGACCAATTATTCAGAGATACCTTAAAAATAACAAGAAAACAACAAAAAAAATGGATCTGACAGCTGCTAGATGATCCAAAGAAGACAAATCTAAGAGTAATTGCAATTAGTGAAAAATTAGAAGATAATACAAATGGCATTTTAAAAATCTGTTTACAAAAATAATAGTAGAAAAGTTTCAAATATGGGGAAAGAATTTGACATACAGATAAATGAAGTATATAAAACCCCAAATAACCACAATCAGAAAAGAATCTCTCCACAACTTGTATATCAGAGTCAAAATACCAAAAGTCCAACTCAAGGACCAAAACATAAAAGCTATTAGAGAAAAGCAAAAAACTTCTTATAAAGTAAACATATTAGAATTAGGCAGACTTTGCAACGCAAACCTCAAAGGCAAGAAAAGTCTTGGTGAAGTACTTCAAACCTGAAAAGGAAACTTCCAACCCAGACTGATATATCCTTCAAAACTATCTTTGAAAGTTGATAGTGAAATAAGGTCTTTCCAAAACAAACAGCACCTAAAGATATGCATAACAACCTAACTAGCACTAAAAAATATTCTCAAGACATTCTGGAAATAGACAGGTAAGCTAACAATCACAAAATGTCTAATGAAACAAATACAGTAGGCAAGGTGAGCAGTTAAATTGGGGGGGGGGCAGCAATAGGAAAATAATGCAATCAAAGGAAATGATTCAGTATCTTTTTTTTCCATTAAGCTTATTGGTACATTTTAGGTATAAAATACAGTTACAGTCATCATTGGGATCTTGCACCTTTACATGATGTATCTAGGTTCTTACTTTTTTTCCCCTTCCTCTGCCGTACCTTCACCCCATCCACCCTTCCCTATTGGCAAAGACTTTGTTTCCATTTTCCTTTTCTCATATTTGTTCTTTTCCCTCCTTTCCTTTCACCTACCCCTCCCACTTCCCCTACTCCTTTAAACCTTTTCTTCCTATTACACAATATCAATTACACATTTTTAAAATTACAATATCAAGATCTAGGACACATTACCACAGATTTTACAGAATTTAAAAGGATATAGAAAGCATATTACAAAAATCTTTTTGAAATAAA